GCACTCTTTGCTCCATTAGGCAGTCGTGATGACCTGCTGTAGCCAATGCACTGCGTATTGAGCGCTGAGAGCATTGGGGGTCTCAATACCTCATTAAACATCGAGGAAATACGATCCTACCCTAGAGACATGAGGCTGGCAGCCCGTCCACACACACACTCTCAATCTGTGTCTGGCCTGGATGGCAAGGGACATACAAAAGATGCCTCCAGGCCATCTGTAATGCTGCTGTGCATGGTGAAAGACCACTAATTAGTTCATGTCTAATGCTTCGACTTTGTGTAGAGGGGAGCAAAACACCTGCCAGTTAATTATGAGGTGCCTCATCTGGGCAGAGAGCATTTTGCTAAATTGTCCAGCAGAGGAAATGATGCATTTCTCTGGAACTATGAATAAACGTTGGAAAAGGAAACCAAAGAAAGCCAATGACATGTCTTAAAATTTTCAATATCACAATATTTTTGTATTTAAAATGGTACAATTTCCTGACAATCCCCAGATATTAGATTATTGTGGCGTACATTATAACAAGCTTCCTGTCATGGTTGTGTGACCAGTAGATGCATGTCTATGATTTGTTGTTTTATTTTTTTCCAGATTAATTGCATAAATCTGCTGTCTGAATATAACCCCTACACGGTATACTGGTCTCTTGATGGAACTTAACCGTCAATTGGTCTAGTGACAACTTTAGAGCAAGGGGCCAGCTACAGTTCTCCCACTAGCTGATGTACACCCCCCCCCCAATGCACAAACACACCCCCCTAATAGTACTCAAAAGACACAAAAGCAGCGCCGCACATACACATGGTATTTCAGACTTCGTTGGAGATACAAAGACACACAGGGTGAGCCAAAAGCAACACGTTTTACAAAACTAATCCTGCTCGGGCACCTTTTCCTGGCTTTAATCAATAACTGTAAGCTACATTAATTTTTCATCTCATCCAAACAGACCAACCAGGATGCTTACACAATTCCCACAACACCAAGTTAGACAATGAAAGAACATACACAGAGTGTGCCGTGTGTTCTGAGAACAGAGGACCAGTGATTCTTTTATTTCTCTCTTTTTTTGGGGGGGGGGACAGCACGTGTTTGACATTATCAGCTGACATTTTGTCACTGTACATGGCTCTTTACAGTGGGACTGACTGTGTACTGTCAGAAAGTCACTGAAAACAGATTTGTGACATTCTGACATGGTGTTGTCCATGACGAGGTTACATAAAATTGATCTCCCAAGTGGATGCTGCTGATCGACACGTTAGTGTTCTTTACACTCTGAGTGTGGGTATGTGCTGGTTTTAAATGGGGTTTAAGGGTTGAGCAGTTATCTGTTGCTTGTTATTTGCTCTGTAAAATATCCCTGCAGTAACAGTAAGGTGAGAAATTTAATGAAGTCAGTAGCCCCCATTCACCAATACTAATCTAATGACATGACTTTCTTTTTACTCTTCAATATGTTCAGCAAAAGTGTCTCCAAAGCTTTGAAGATCGTTACATTGGGCTGGGAGATTATTATCTTAGCAAACATTCAGGTGACAAATTTTTGCAAGAAAGTTTAGCCAACTTCCATGAAACAGCATACAACATGATAACGGCTAATACAATGCTTATATACACACACATCATACTTACATATTCTTTCAGCTGATCACACAATGCTATTAGTTCAGGAAGGTGACCGTAGATCAAATACTGTCAAACCTTTTAATTATCATTAATTGTAAAAAAAAAAAAAAATTTGAACTTATGATGATACAGATTAGCCTTATTGCTTAGCCCTACATCAGAAAAAAAAAATGACTAGTCTTTTGGTCAATGTTGATGCACAGAGTTGCCCAAGTCAAAAGGGATTTATAGACAAGGGCCAACAACATCTTTAGGGACTATGGCATATCCAAACACCCTTGACTGAAGCAACCTGTTCTGAGCTGCTGACTTTATACCGTTGAAGTGTCTAATGAAAGACAAGAGGAAGATTCCAAGGACCCCCTGTTGTTTCCTTAATTAAAGCCCAACACTGATGTGGTAATACCACAGCGGTAATAATGCCCCTCAACCAGCTGTAGCTCAGCCACGCAAAAGAACAGGGTCATCAAAAACAAACGTTTTCTGGTTTGGAAACATCATGAGGAATTGGAAGTCACTTTTGGTTTTAAAATATTGACTGGACACTAAATTCCTATGCGTTTTCTTTCAAGGAATAGTCTATGTGGTAATGCCTTCTTGGTCCTTCAGTAGTTAAATGAATTTTCTCTCAGACATAGGCTTAGCAATAAGGCTAAAACTAACATTTAGCTCATATCAAATCTTTTTGCACACAAAAAAATCTAACCGGTGAACCAATTTTTGCTAAAACTTGTGTCATCTCAGTATCCCAGATATTCATGCATAGTTTTTGGTAAAAAAAAAGATTTGTGTTGTACCTAAAGCATGACAAATCATGCAAATCATGCATTCAAATCACCTGTAGTAATGCATGCTCGCTGCTCTGATTTGAATTCCAGTTAAGTCAAATACATTGAAATTACAACATTCAAATGAGTTTCCAAACCACAACTATCCAGATACTTCTAGGATAATGTACTTTAATGTATTCGAGGCAAGTCCAAATTTTGTATGTGCTCATATTCTTTGTATATACTTTGGATGATAAGTCCACAAAATGGGAAAACAAATGTTCAAGGAATATGAAGTTAGTTGAGTTTATAAAATATATCAACATTAACCTCCGCTCTGTGTGCTTAATACAGAGGCAACATTAGCTTAATTTTTCACAAACTGTGGAAGCAGGTAGACTCTAGCTTTGTTGTGTGCCTTCCAATTATCTTCAATAATGTCTTATGAGAGCTGTGTGTGTATTTAACTTAGCATAGAGGTAACATGAACTGCAATAACAGAGCAATTTTGTTTGCCTAAAATTGACAAGAATTGTGGATGCATTTGACAGGACTGAGGGTTTCACACGATGATCAATGCAAAGCCACAAAGCTTGGTCCAGATGGCCTAACTGGAGGATTAAGATCAATTTACGGAGCATGTTGAAACAATCTCCATTTGCATTTTAGGTCTTGTACAGGAGCTATTAAACAGGGCTAAATGTTCTTTAAAGAGTAATGGTAAGATGATTTTAACATGTTTAGAGGATGTACATGTCAGTCAATTGAAATAATTCGTTTTTGCTTATTTCTAACCAAGTCATCCATCACTATGCAGAAGTAGAACAGAGAGGAAAGTAGGCTTATTTCTAGGGGTTTTATTTTTTTAACACAATTATTTCTACACAACATTTTCTGGGTGTGTATTCTATTGCAGCTTCACAAAGCATGTGATGGAAGACACATTTCTGGTTTAGCGTGGCTCCTTCAACCTGTCTGACGGCCTAGACATTGTCTTGGTTTTTGAAGTTTCAGCCAGATCAGTTGTAACAGCTCAGAACAACACAAGAGAAGTCACTGAATATTGTGCAAATAAAAGAAAATGTCCCTGGAGCAGCAGGCAACAAGCATTACATCTGTCATTTCTGACTCAAGAGCTGAACGTTAGCTTTAAAAAGGACTATACCAGTGTTTTTGCATGTTTAGCTCATACAGTGATTTCCTAGTTTACATCCCCGCCTTTTTAAAAGGTAGTTTCAGTTCACCTCAGTATGGTATGAAAATGATCTTGCAAAGACTTTGACAAATGGTTGGCATTTTAGCCTTTAGCCTACGGTAACTATCCAAATTATCTTGTGGTAATGAAAGACCATTTTTGAACATGTTTGACCACTGCCAAACAGAAACATTTTATTTTTTTGAAATGCTCCAATATTAACCATCATTAAATGAACTTTCTCGTAATCTAGATGTTTGGTTCTTGCCTACTTTTATTTATGAGGCCAGTAAACTCTCTGGGTCCAAAATGATAATCCATAGAAAAACATCCAAACTATCAGAAGTGAATAATTGGTTGGGAACACATGGGGGAATTTTGGCATCAGTGTTTCCACAATATTGGTTCAAAAGACAGTCCAGCAAGTTTTTAACAAAAGGATTTTACAGAAAAAAAAACACAAAAAAAAAACGGTTTTCTTCCTCCATCGACTTCCAGTTCTCGTTTAAGGCATTTATCAGCAAGCTGGTCTGTGCAATGAGCTGTGTTGTTTACCAGCAAAGCCAGCACACGTGCCTGGTCATTTCTCTGTCCCAGCTTGAAGCAAACAAAAGAACATAGCAAGCACAGAACTTTTATTTTGAATGGGGAATCTGTTGTGGGCGACAGGTAAATCAAGACACCTCCAAAAAAAACTTGATGCATTTTAAAACAAGGCACTCAGTAGTCCCTACCAGTAGATGAAGAAAGAACAAAAGAAGAAAAGAGGGTAGAGACAGGCACTGGAAAACAAAGAGAAAGAAAACAGGTCAAAACAGCCTGAAACTGTTATGTCAATTCTGTGTAGCTGGCAGTAAAGTAAAGCCGAGGGACTTGCTTTGTCTGCAGGGAGCAGGTCTGTTCTGGGACAGGGGCACTCTCGCTCTTTCAGTCCGTCTGAGGGGTTTTGCTGCAGCCTAGAGACACAGCAGGCTAATTGACGAGTACTGGGCTTTGTTTTATCTTGGCAGCCTCACAGCAATGTTGACTTAATGTTGCCAATGGACAGATGGCATGCCACAGTGCTGAATGGCCAGCAGAAGTGACAGACTGACTCTCCATACAAGAGCTAGTGTCCCTCTGATCACCCCCCCCCCCCCCTCCCTCCCTCCCCACATGTCACTGGCTTCAAATTGATAATCCTTACAGAGTTTGCAATACACTGTATCTTCAACAGACAGATGACAGTTTCCACTCAAAAAAAAATTCTGACCAACAAAGCCTTCAACAACCCTCTTATGAAGTGCCAACCTAATTGAAAACCTCACTGTCAAACTCTAGTTCCCCCTGAGCCTTTAGCAGGACAGACAATTCACATAAACACAAGATGGTTTTGGAGAGGACCAGGGAGGTGGACTCACATGTGTGGACTAAGTTCATAGAAGTTCCTATTGCGATACTCCTCCACTTTGTCTGGCGTGTAGATGGGCAAGGACCTGTAGGGGTTCATGGAGATCACCACGCTGCCAATATATGTCTAGGGGGGAGAGAAGAAAAAGGAAACAGTGTGAATCCACATTGCATTTTGTCAGTTTCTAACAAGAGCACTGGTTTCAACTTTTCCTCTCCTCTGTCCATTTTGTTGTTAATTGTTAAGCATAGGTGGGAGTAATTTTGCCCGTCAGCTTTTCCCAGCTGTGTATTCCTAATACTTTGTCGAGGCATGCAATGCCTGAAGCGAAAGACACGTAAAAACAAGGAAATCTGGGGGGGTAGGCAGTAAACACAGACTGCAACGAGGTCAAGCTGTTGCCAGGCTGTTTATGTACTTTAAAGAGGTGGTATTATGCTCATTTTCAGGTTCCAAATCCTATTTAGGGGTTGTACCAGAACAGGTTTACATGGTTTAATTTTCAAAAAACACATATTTGTCGTCATACTGCACATTGCTGCAGCTCCTCTTTTCACCCTGTGTTGAAGGCTTTGTTTTAGCTATGGAGTGATACATCTTGTCTCTAAATGATCTTTTTGGGAGTTGCACATGCGCAGTTCCTAGTTAAGGACTACTAGCCAATCAGAAACAGAGAAAGGCGGGTCAGCGAAAAGACGGTAAACAGCTTCGATTCAGCTGTAGGCTAAATGTTGCCGACCAGCTTGGCAATATGACTGGAGCAAGAGTAGCGAGTTATTAATCTGTAACAAAAGAACCTTTCATCCATAAAGTTTGGAAGGGAGAGGAGAGGTGTGCTGCAGCCCACCGGTGTTTTTGAGGGCGTGTCGGACTAGTCGTTCGGCGAGCATTATGACATGTATTTACTTGTGACGTCACAAGAAAGGGAAGTAAAGGCCGGACTACAAACGAGCTGTTTTCAGGCAGTTCAGAGCATTGTTTTCTGTGGGAGTTGGGAACTCTATTTGGGGTGGACATTGGGCTTTTTCCCACTTTGCAAACCTGTTACATGCACAAAAAAAGATAAATAGCTCAATAAAAGGACAGGGAAAAAGCCAAAAACCATAATACTATCTCTTTAAGTATATTAGCGTCAGGCCTAGAGTTTAGCAACTGGTGTAAACAAAAACCTAAAACTCAAGATAAAATAAAATTAAAAACAAATTGCTGAAATAATCCATTTAGGTTAAGTGTTTCCCCATCAAAAACATTGTAACATTAGTCAATTACATAATATCTAATTAACTTGCAAGATCTGACACGTCAGTGGTGGTTGTTTAATCACATCGACAAACCTAAAAAGCACCATTTCTCTGGTTTCATATAAAAGAACACCTTTATGTAACATCCACACAGGTCCAGTTCAACAGATAACACTTGTCAGATATTTCTGAAAGCGAATGCAACCAGCCATCATCTTCATCCTCCTACGCTCAAAACAGAGCCCAGATAGCACTTTGAAACATCAACCTGAAACATTTTCTTTGCTTTCCATGGTAATGGCTGTTGCATAACCCACTCTGACAAGAGTGGAGCATGGCCTTCCCTGTGGCAACACCACAACCTCCTACAGCCTCCCATTCAATAGCCCACGAGAGGCAAAATGAGGCCTTTTCAAGTGCAGAGGACGGGTACAATAGGGAAAGAGTGTGTGCAATGTAAACAAAGCATCACATGTTAATGAGGGCTTTTCTTGACCAAAAGCAGAAAACACGTGTCAAAAAAACGTTATATTTTTCAGCCTCTGCTGATCATAAAAAAAACAAACACATAACATGCAGGGGACTTCATGAAGAAACTTCATACAGATCAAGTCATAATACTGGTGTCAAAAAGGCTCATTACTTCTACACCTTTTCACACCACATCCAAAACAAATGTATCGTATACAAACAAGACAAAAGGTTACTTTCATGCATTTTAAACTCTCGTATCAAATATGAAGCAATTAGTTTCAGATTTGAAAAAAATTAAACTTCCAATTATAACTGTGCTCCGGTTGCACTGATGGGGCCAAAATCCAGTCTGTATTTCTATTTCTTCTTGATTCCTGCTGTCTGCCCACTGAAAGTGTCATGCAGCTCTCTTCTTCTACAATCTTTTGACCTTTTCCACAGTACAAAAGGTTGGACAGGATTTTAGTCAAAACTCAAAGAGCAGCATGTCTATCAGCGGAGATCGATAATGTTACGTAGACCCAATTCATATTTTTCATGTAGTTGTAATCTTGTGCTGTATGTTTTCTTCCTTCTGCATTTCCACACCTGCTGTTCTGCTTGTTATAAAAATCCATCTGGTAAGTCACTAAAATTATAGCTGCGTGGATGATACATCACATGCCCAACAGCTACATAAATGAATTCATTTTTCTTTGCCACTAAGCTTTATATAACGCAATGTTAAAAAGCGTTCACTTCAGCAAATCTGCATGCAAGACAGCACACATATGAATTCAGTTCATTTAAAAAAAGAAAATGGCAGGTGTGAAAAGGCGTTAAGGGTCTAGGGTTATGGTTAATTAAAAGCGGTGGGGTTGAAGACTATGTACAAAACATATGTAGGTACCCTGATCTTTTCATCCGTCACGAAAAGCCTTTAAAATGACATATGTAGATGCTAGATACACTTCGAAGTACTAAGAATTCATTTGGGATAAAGATTGGAGACTGATCATCCTGCTACAATTTTGGTGTGAAGGAAAGGAGGGCATTACACCTAATCATGCAACTCACAGTAAGAAGCAGGGCAACAGTTAACAGGGTGATTTTCAGTCCCTTTGATTTTCCACAGTTATTGGATACATAATCCGCTGTCCCTCTGGAAAACAAAGCCATGTTTCTTCTGCTGTGAGCTGTCATATGATAGTTTGGGGTGGGGGTTGGGGCCATTTGTAAGGAATGATGCCACATGAGGGAAAAACACATTCACATGCACCACAGATTTATTGGATAAGTATAGGCTACAGCGCATGTCCTGGTCATCAATCTTGAGGTGCAGCTTATGCCACTAAAAAAGCTGCTATTATAGACTATGTGGATTTACCTTTCCATGAAGAGGCCATTTTAACTTTCATCTCATAGACAGTCAGTACCGAACTAAAAATGTAAGTCAGAAATATTAGGATTTGCACCAGTACAGTGAAAACTTTGAGGCCTGTAAAACATAAATACATTTTAAAAAGCGCAACTGTGCATGTTTAACTAGTTCCACAACATTTAGGTCAGCGCCACACAGGAAATAAAAAGCTCTGAGCTTATAGTTTAGGACAGAAAATTGAGGGCATCTGAAATGTGAAAACACTATTCCCATTCCTCAGCAGGATGTGGGCTGCATCTCGACAAAATATCTAGCGCACCACTAAGGCAATCACTGCTATATGAGGTGACATCATCCCTTGGGCCCTGAGCCCTTGGAGCCAACAGTAACCAGAGCACAGCTGTAATCATCTTGGCTGATGTCTAGAGTAGCCAACCTGCAGAGCAGAGGAAGAACCGTGGAGTGCCACAGCACAAAGCCCGCAACCAATTGTTTGATGCAGGGATGATAGCTCAAGAGCCTCCTTCTTCTAGAGACAGCCAGCCAGCCTGCCAGTCCCTCCTTGTCCCTGAGCTGTGGATTTCATGCCCCATTTAAAAAGGCATCATCTACATTCCTCGGTGATGTGATTTATTGATTGGCTGGTTACTGCGGTCTGTGTTTCTGTGCCACTTCTGTACCCAAGACTAAAACGAGTAAGGGAATGGAGGAACAATAGAGTTATGAAAAGTATCTGTGTGCTTCCTTAGGGAAGCCGTCTGTGTCAGTCTTTGGAGGTAGGGCCCGGCAAAAGAGTCTAATACAACACAATATTGTTAAACTGCTACTCGAATAGGGTTCAGTTATATTAATGCAATCGTTACTTGAATATAAAATGGTAGACTTACGTATATCTCATTGTGATCAAAGCGGTTCCTCAGGTTCTCGAGGAATGAGTCTTCTGAAAGGGGTTCTAGCAGGACCATGTCGCCAACCCCAATCATGTTGTCTAGAAGTGACGTCTTCACCTCCATTTTGGCTGTAGGTGTCCCCCCCTGCACAAACATACAGAAGGAAGACATCACACATACTGTAAATTAAACATACTATAAATACATTTTAAAATGTACCCTGGAGTTTTTGACCACTGCAAGCTACAAGTCTGTTTTGTTTATATTGTGCACGTACACATGAAGCACATGCAAGCACTCGTTACTTTCTCGCTATTATGCTGATGAACAGGAGGTGGCTGAAATGCGCTAACAAACAACACGCCAGAAAGTCTGTGGGAAAAAACAAAAAAAATTTTTTAAAAACTGCTAGCAAGCATTGGTTCAAAAGACCTCTCACTTTTACACCTAGTAGGCCATTATATTGGGTTTGTAGTCCATTATTGGCGAGCTCTCCAGCAATGTTTTGCTAAGAGGCATTCTCTGATCAGAAAATAAACAGTCCTAAACTTAGCCAATGCAAACAAACTCCGGGGTGGACATGTTTGTACAGCAGTGGTTTGACTCCAGGGGGAGGAGCGGGGCCTTTTGATTGGCTATTCAGTCTTGTTCTCCTGTGGCACGTGAGAATGTCCCGTAGGCGATTGCATAACTAAGGAACTTTGCCCTTGACCTCTGGTTGTCTGCGCAGCTGGAATCTGCTCCTGTTTCGTGGCTTCTTTCGCATCAAAGAAATAGCCCCCAAAACAGTAAACTGCTTCATAGCTTCTTTTCTTTCTTTCACCCCACTTGCTTGTTGCAGCAATATAATATTTGTGGCCGGTAAAGGATCTGGGCCGGAGTGCCCTCTGACAAAGACACTGCTGGGGGTGGCAGTTTTCAGTCCAGTGTTGCCTCCCATCTCCTTTGGGACAGTAATCCCAATGCTATAGGGCTCGAGATAAAAGAGGGGCCTAGGATACATTCAGGAACTTGATACAGGGATTTGCTGTACTAAAAACCCAATGTCTGCAGTTGTGACAGACAGATGAGGCCCTGTAGTCATCTATTGTTCACTGCTCTCTTAGTACAGATGTCTTTTTTTGCATAACAGAGACAGACACTGGCTGGTGCAGAATAAATTAATGGCAAAGCTGCATATTTATAATGTACTCTGATGTTTAAGATCTTTAAAATACAGCAGAGATGTGAGTGAAATTAGAAGAAGCCCCCAAAATGACTATAGCTTGTATCTGTTACTCCCTCCCTGGAGGAAAAAAAAAACAACACAATTTCTGCTTAGATTAATATCACACAAATATCAGACACAGTGTAGACACAGACGTGGCAAATTCATGTTTGGGGATTAAACAACTGGATTAGAGGGTAAAACAGTATGTGATCTGAAACAATTGGTGGACAGCCAAAACAGAACAACTCAAAGCTCCCAACATTTCAGCACAAAACCCTCACTTTGTCTGCAAAGCATAAACCTATCAACAAAATCAACTTTTTGTAGAAACTCTGGAGCAGCGTGGCATTCCCAGAAAAAAAAAATAAAAAGGATCCCCTGTGTAGACTTACACTTCACTTGTTCCCCAGCTTCTGTTCGCCTGCAGGGCACAATGTTATTGGCCCATAAAGAAGTTGCCTGGCTCTTGGTAGGAGGCAAGATTCAAGCTCCAAAAGGACTCACTCCTATACCCGGCATGAAAACAAGAAGGGGAACGGTGGGGGAGAATGCTGAAAAATGATTGATGTTCTTTGGCAATTAAGATGTTTTTTAAAAAAGGGCTGCCTTGCTGCAAACACACCAACAGTTCCATCTTGACCCAGAGTAATGTGCAAAGCAGGTCTGTTGTCAACTCACAGTCCAGTGAGGTCTATTCCTTTGTGCCCGCTGACTAGCGCAATGTGTCGGTCTGATGGCATTGTGCCAAAACATTCCCAGTGACGGCTCACGTATTGATTTGGCTGCCTGCAATGCAGTTTTAAATCAAGTTATTTCCTTACAAAAAACACAGCTGCTGATTCCCTGGAGGGATGAAACAACAGTCACCTGCTCAGAGAGCTCACACCGTATGTTATCTTTCTGTAGGGTTTCACGTTGTTGCTGCTGTTTTACTACAGCATCCCCAGGTGTGTTTGTTACTCTCAAAAGTGCCGGGTATTACATTACTTTAAATAGATAGACTAAATATTGGCCGAGTAGTACAATATCAAGTAGTTAACTACTTAGCTCCTGACAACCTACTGCCTATGCGGACAAAGAGATATCTGCTACACTGGAAGTGCTGCGTCTAGTCTCTGAATGAAGTTTAAAAAGGACATAGCCTAATCTTTCTCAGTGAAAACAGATGCTGAAGCCTCTGGGCAACCTGGGGGAGAACTGTGTGTCCATGCTGCCCGAGTGCCTGTGCCAGTCTGACCAACAACATATTGTATTTGTCTGCAGCCTGGGCGCCCTCAGCTCCTCTGCTGATAACCCACTACCCCAGATTCAGAGCTGGCTTCTAGGCAGCCAGTGACACAATCCCATTAATAAGAGTTGCTGCCTGCTGCTAACTGTTGTACTGGAGGATCCAAAGGGGGCGGGGGGGCGGGGGCTGACAGCCTTGATTAAACTCAGGGGATTATCCTCACTGCTGAGTGGTAGAGAGATGAGATAAATGTTGGTAAATGCCTGTGATGGTAAAAACACAGATTTATTGCAAAGTGTACACATGAAGGACAAAAAAAACCTCCCACTGTTATGTTTTAAAGAAAATCACTTTATCAATCTAAATCAAAACGACCCAGTATGAACCAGGGCTCCTACAAAAATGTCCAGGTAGATTTGACATCTAGAGATTTTACATTCTGCCTATTTATGCTATTATGTTGCCAAATAATTGCCAGAGGATTGTATCTTGGTACTGTAGCTCACACAGATCGATCTGTGGCTGTTCAGTCCACACACCTACGCAGAAAGTTAGAAGGCGTTCCACTGTCAAACACATCTGCCCAAAGAGGAAATAAACTAACCGGTGCTACCTTTACTTGTATTATTTTCCCTTTAAATATTTAATAAATTATATTATTGTATATTTCTTGTGTCTAATAAAATAAGAACAGAAAATTACTTTACTCCATTTTCACTTCAGCTGTGAAGCCTTGTTTCTTCATGGTGTCCATTTAAACAATAATTATTGCAGTCACAGAAGGTCTGGTTTCCGTACGCAGAAAAGTCTGTTTACTTTTCTGACTGCAGAACTCAAATGTTCAGACAAGCTTAGTGTTTGGTTATTTGCATTGCTATGTAAAATATTCAATTCAAAAGATATTGCCACTTCGTTCTCTCGCAATCTTTCTCAAACTAATTTGGTCGTGGATGTCTGGAATTGGTACAGTTATATTGCTGCATTCCATTCAGTGTTGGAGGTCTGCATTTTACAGCTGAAATTTCCAACTTCCGACCTCGAAGTGTTCGCCAAACATAAACAAAAAACTGGAACAAACTGAAGTTTCTTGTGTACACAGAACTGAACTCTCAGCAGTGACATTGGTGCTGCAGCCCACATGGAAGAGCATTTTGTAAATGGTAAACCATTAACTAAAAGGCCGTTTAAAGTATATTTTCCTGTATTAAATTAAAATTATTTAAAATTATACAATCAAATAGTAAAACCTGTTCTGCATGCAAATTGATGTCAAATGTGTCACCAGTGTTAGGCAGCAGCTGATTACGGTATACATACTGTATCTGAAAATCTTCTGTGTGCGCAAGTTATGTAGCTAAAGGGGAACACACTTAACGAGTAACATACGTCACTCCTTTTTTTTTTTTTATTAAAACAGCTATCTTTTTAATTAACACCTAGGGCACTGCTGAGAGTTCATTTGTGTGTACACCACCAACATCAGTTTGTTACCGTCAGCCATGTTTTTTGTTGATGTTTTGTGTCGGAAGTTGGAAATTTTATCTGGAAAATTATGACCTCTAACTTTGACTGGAACGCAGCATGAGGCACTTGGGGCAGAGCTGTGGGGCTGTGACCTGCAGGTGTAGATGCAGATCTGTGTAGGAGTGTGCGTTCCTTCGCTCGCCACACTTCTTGCCTTGCTTTTGATGACATCAGGCTCGTTCTGGCCCGCTCTCTCTCAGACAGTGGTAAACACTTTGGCTGCACTGACTGCCTGCTCAAAATGTCAAAAAACACACTGCTTGTATTATTATTTCCCCCCCCCCCCTCGATACTCAAAAACAGAATAGGGGCAACAATAATCTGGAAACACATATGCTCCCATACTTACCCGGACTCTCAAATGACTAAAATCTAATTCCATACTTGTCCATACCGCGTGGGAACCCTGATAAACCTTTGGCTGGTTTATCAATCTCTCTGTTGCAAACTGCATTAGAGAGATTGATTAAATCACTTTGATCCATGTTTAAGAGGAAAGCATCACGTGTGCCCACATGGTTTAGCTGCCAGTAATCTCAAATCTAAATCTAATGAATCAGTGATGTAGCAAAACTTAAGGTCAAATGCCCTCGTCTGGATGTAACTGAGTGCGCTCTCCAAAATCTGCCCGGCACAGTGCCTGTGCATGGCAGTGGTTTACACATACCATACGCTTACCAAAAGCATCAAAAACATTGCTTTCTGTTAAAAAAAACAAAAAAACAACATCATCTTTCAAATAGCTGGATATGAATGGAGACTTTTCTGAACTGTCCTTGTAACACTGATGTGTAGGCTACATGTAACGGCAAAATGGAAAGTGTTTCATAGGACCTCTAATAATTACTTTTGCTGGGACTTCCTATCTGCCTTTACTTATCATCATCTAGAGCCCACTTTGAATGTCAGGAGAAGGGCATTGTTTTGATCCTGCATAACATACAGTAAAAGCCACAGAATTTAATTTTAAAATTGGAGTTGGATCTATAATTCCCACAGATTAAAGTGCTGTATTCATAAGAGCCAAGTTGCTCAACAGTATGATAAACACGCGTGAGAGATTTTGTCATCAAAAGTCTGATAGTGATGGGTGGGCTGGAGCTGGGATTTCCATGCACGTAACCAACAGTATTATGAGACATGTTTTACTTCCTGCCACTGACGCTGACCTAGATTTCCCAACCAGGTCAAGATACAAGGAAAACATCGAGAAACACCATTAAATGTGCATACATTATTTACAGGCCCTAGACTATGACCACGTGTTCTTTTCTGTCCTTTAGTCACTTGACCAAAAGTCAAGAGCTGCGTAGATGGGCAGTGAAAATACAAAACGTGGAGTCAGTAAGCCAGATGCTCCTCATTAGGATGCGCACACGTACAGGATTAAAAATAAAAGCAGCTCAGAGTGACTATCAGTTTTGAAATGGCCAATATTTTCATCATGATCAACAAAGCAAGCTTGCAGTCTATGACACGTAATCTGTGAGTAAGCAAATGGGTCGGAGCTACACGGAGAGATGACTAGCGCCGTTCTACCTTGCAGCGTTTGTTTGAGAACACAGTGGCGTGTGTACATGTGCAAAGAAATGATAATAAAATCTATTATGCAGCGTAATAGTGTGTAAATTCCCAGCAGATCAAGATGGCCTTGTTGCGGGGCAGGAGAGTCACAACATCACAGGCTGCTGGCAATGATGGAGATTAAAACCCTCCCTAATGGAGCAGCAGTAGGGCATGGGGCTGTGCCAGAGAGGCCAGGACAGAGGCTTAGAGGGGCAGAGAATGAGCTGCTGCCTGAGAAAGTGACCTCAAATCCAGAGCCCTCAACAATGCTCCAGGTGCACATCTGTGCAAGAGTATGTGCGCAAAAGCTGGCATGCGAACAAACTGGCAGTTGCTCTACTCGCAGGCAAAAAGACTGAACAAACTTACAACAATAACTTGCAGTTAATGACTTCTATTTGATGATTTCTGTCTGTCAAAAGTGCACACATTTGCGTGGGGTTTTCATGCCACACAACCATCCGGACTGGTTAAACATAAACCTGTAACCCAAACAAACACCGCTTTATTTACAATACATCTCAAACTGCAGGGAGACATACTGGTATATTTGCAAAACACGAGCCTACAGCTGGCAAAATGACGGTCAAACAACCATCCCATGATTAATCCACTGGACATACAAAACCCTGATTGAAGAGAGACCCAATAGCTGATGGGAATAACTGTCTGATGTGTTAGATTTAAAAGGCCCAGAAAACATATTTTCTTAATCAGCTTCTGACTATGAGCAACGGGGTACTACATGATCACAAAATAATCTGCCAAAGTCGGAACAGTTCTGGTAATGTCACGAGATTTCCACATTTGGGGATTTTTGTCTGTGCTTCTCACTGATTTGAGGTGGACAGGGCTCAGCTGGAAAATGGTGACGCACCGATCAGATTTTAGTAACATTTAAATCAAAAAGTGGTGGTCCAAGGCTAACCCTTTTTCACAGCAGACATTTTGACTTGCGATAGCCTGATCACATCCTGTCTCAAATGTCTGAAAACCGTTTCTCTTTTGTTAACAGTTTATACTCTCACAGGAGGTTATATGATCATCAAGTGGATCGTGCAAAACAGCTACTGACCGTCAAATCTGCGTGTCAAAGTTTTCCCAAGAGGAGCCTGATGTGAAAAATGTGCAGATTTAACGAATATACTAATTGCGGCTGAATGTGTCACAAAAAATAAAATAATAATTTAAGTGCTGGTGTGACCGGGCCTTAACGGCAGGTCTTAACGATTTGCAAAGTATTTATTGTGACAGATACTGCAACATGCATCACATTTTTAGTAGAAATGGTAATTTTTGCATTTCATTTTTCACTGAAAAAAAATAAATCCAAAAAATGATCAATGTTATTTTTGCTGTGGTCT